TATATATATATATTTTTTTTTTTTGGAGGATTCTCAACGAGACGGACAGGGCCGCTCTATCGCTCAGCCGGCTCCCAGAGACCCTTGGCGGGTTCTTCTTTCGGGCTTAGGGTTTAGGGTAGCTTCACGGCGAAGTGCTTCGTGGTTTCAGTTTGGGACTTCGGGTGTCGGATTCTGGGTTGGAGGGACCCTGACCCTGAACCTGAACTCTGCGTTTTGTAATTATATATATATANNATATATATATACACACACGTATATATATATATACATATATTATATAATAGAGATAGATAGATAGAGATATATATATATATAATAGAATGATCAGTGTTCTTACTTCCTAGTTGTGCTATGCTCCGATCCAATGCCTCAGCCAGCCTGGCCTTCGACCTAGCAGTGACCTGGCAGGGAGAAAAGGGCAAGTCGGGGCAAAACGAAACTTGAATCCTCAACCCTGAAGCCTCGACACTAAGCCCTGAAGGCTCATCCCATAGCCCTCAACCCGGAGCCCGCAACCTACAAACGGGCAAGCCTAAACCCTCCAAACTTGCGCACCCAACTCCAAATCCCACAAATCCTCACCTGCGCTTCTTCGTGTCATGCTGAGGATGCACTTCTGCCTGCAAGCCACCCGGGATGTCCATGAGCCCGGCTCTCAAGTTGGCTCAATACTTTAGGGTTTAGGGGTTTAGGGGTTTAGGGGTTTAGGGGTTTAGGGTTTAGGTTGAGTCCATGCGGAAGTGAAAGCAGAGGGATGCTTAGGCATGATCTGGGGAAGTAATACATGAAAGCTTCAGAGTGCCTACATGCCAAAGATAGCGAGACGTGTTTGATTCAGACGGGAACCACCTCCCGGTGCATGTGCGCCGGATTACAATGAACCCATCTCACGTATTCAGCTTTTTCGTGGTTTCATGGCAAGTTCCCTATCCGCATGAATAGTTGGTGGAAGTGGAATATGGCCCTACTATGTCGTGCTTCGTTGCTGGGGCGACGCAACTACCATGATTTTAGCATTTGACGCCGGTCGTACTCCTTCAGCGCTTGAGCCTTTGAGCTTTTGCAGGTACAACGCGGTCGTCAACACCTTCAAGTGCCCTCCCAAGTCCCTTGTTCCGAGAGCGAACTCATGTGCTTGGGAGTGTGGCTCGGTGATGCTTTGACGTGATGTGGAACAGTGCCGCTTCAGTGGCTGCATGTAGCCAGGATGGCTGGCTGGACTCGTGTCCCGGTCGGCTCGTCGAAGTTTGCCATCTACTGGGGCTCGGTGCTCGGCAGCTCTCGGGTGCCATTCGCTTTTGCATCTTGCCCGGAAAGTAACCACACAGACGGCCGGCCAATGCATAGTAGGTAGTCTGGAGCAAGGTTGCATAGGTTGGCAGATAGAGCTACACAGTACAGTTTCGTCCATGTCCTCCATCCAACACTCCTCGGCAACAGGTCCACATCCCACACCGGAGATGTCGGTGCCTAAGGCAAGTGCAAGCTATCCGCAGCAGACTGTGATGTTCAGCCCTAGGCCCTAAACCCTAAACCCTTGTCTACTTGCCTGAGAGCAACAAATCCTCCGTCAGTCGCTTCAGGGCGATCCGTGACTGAACCGGAGCCGTAGCAGTTCATGGGTGTATGGACACATTATATACGTACATAACATACGCACTCACTACAAGTATATACATACACAGATCATGTATAGATAGATAGATGGATGGATGGATAGATAGAGAGAGAGAGAGGGGGACAGACGGACAGACGGACAGCTAGCTAGCGACATAGACATAGACATAGACATAGATATAGATATAGATGTTGTAGATATAGATACAGACATAGATATAGATACAGATGTAGAGACAGACCGATAGATCGGTAGATAGATAGACAGATAGATGGATAGATAGATCGGGCTTTTGGTTGGCAAAGCTGGAGCTGCACCAGGACTTAAGATTCTGAGGTGTCATGATGCCCTCGAAGGCTTAGGAGGATACGAGGGCGTAGGGTGTGGCAGGTGCAGACACGAGGCCTGTCGCGATCCCCAAATCCAAGACCTTCTCCCAAGGCCTAAATCCATAACACCGATCCCGAAGCATCCGAGCTCCCAAGGCTGAGGAGCTTCAACCCTTTCCAGAGGGCAAACCACTTTCCGAACTCCTGGCAGTTGGGGCGGAAGGAGGGGCAGTGCTTTTGATGCCATCGGTCGGTCCATCTATCTCCGCCTATCCTCCCTTCCTACATCTCTCTGTTTCGCCCTGTTTTTTTCACGATCCGGCGAAGCCAGGCAGACCATCAGACGGAATGAGCATTGCAGAAACAGAGATAAATGGCTGTGCGGAGGCCCTGAAACATGAGCCCTAAACTCTCAATCCATGAATTTGAAGTTTGAGGATGGTTGGGTCTTTAAACCTTCAACTGAGATGGCTGTCAGGACCTTCTCGGCAAGAACATCCACAGGCGTTTCGTACTTCGTGGGGCAGCCTTACAAACCAGCTATTTGTCTAGTCCACTGTATAAGCTTCGAGAAAGAGCTCTTGGGAAGGCTTGATCGGACCGGAGAGGTTGTGAACGCAGAGTCCGAAGCCATCGAATCTGTTCCGGGTGTATCAGTCCCTAAACCCTAAACCCTAAGTGTATTTCCGGCTTCAAGTGTTGGCCTGCTTTCGTTTGGCTGAGATGTCCTCAGCGAATAGCTCTGTCAAGAGCGGTTAGTGAGCAAATTGTCGGCGACAGGCAGTCTCCCCTAGCTAGGAGTCCTATGGGGCGGGATCTGCGAATCGTCGGTCGAAGTTCTTGACAGATACCTGGACGCCGCTTCTCAACCTGACAGTAGGTAAAGAAAGTCCCAAGGCCGGAACGACTTAAACCGATGAGCCTGCAGTCGCTTACCCCAAGCGGGGCCGCTGGACAGGATGAAGCGACAGTTCCCTAAAGACTACAACATCATGTGCGTCGCTCAGATCCGGCTTCGGAGGATACGGGGGATAGTTTCCCAGATCCTTGACTTCGGTGACATTGACAATGGGTCATGAATGGCGTGAACAAAATGTCAATCCAGTGCTTCCTATATGCTTGTTGAATGTGCTTAGCCAGACCCAGAGATTTCTGGACAATGTTCTGTCCATGAAGCCATCCGGTTCTGATGCCAACCCCCATTGAGCAGCCAGGAGTCCCGAAAAGCCTTGCAGCTCAGGAATCCTAGGACCTCAAGCCCCAAGCACCACCCCTCAAGAAATCAGCCCGAGAGCCNNCCCCCCCCCCCCCCCCCCCCTGAAACTCAGCCCTCAAGACCCAGAGCCTTGAGCCTTCCTTGGCTTCGAACCCCAGGCCATTGAGCTTCAGTCTCCCTGAAGACAGCCAAGCTTGGAGCCAGGCACACGGGCTTTCAGCGCTCCAAAGAAGTTGGGGTAGCCTAGGAAGTCAGGCTCAGGTTTTGGAGGCCAAGGAATGGATCTGGCACCTGCAACCTAAATCGTGTGGAGTCCTGCTGGGAGTGCATCTCAGGCTTGTTTTCGCAAGTTCTTCGGATGGTTTGCCAAGTCGAATTTCAGAGTCCACAGCTGTGAAAGGTTTGGATTTCCAGACCTGGCGTGTTCTTTGCGGGTTGTTTTGGCTCAGGAATTCGGCAATTTGGTCCATCGTCATCGAAGCCACCAGAAAAGATCAGAGGTTGTCATACTACGGTTGGCGGGTGAACCGAGGCAATCGCTAGCTTTGTTGCTTAGTGGTTTTCCAGGCTCCATCCAAGCAGCCGAATAAAGCCTCTGCGGTGTCACGTACAGATGGCAGGCGAGGGATCAGAATCCGGAGGCCTCAGCTGGTGCTTAGCTGACATCCTTGTGTCATGGACGCCGTCCATGCGAAGCATTGAAAGCTGTGAGTGAGAAGTCGGACAGAGAAGCCGTTGCTTGACAGAAAAGCTTGAAATGGATTCGCATGCCGTGCTTCCGTCGACCATTCCGAACTCAGATCTGAGAAGTGCTTACTGGCATTGCAGTTGCTGTTACTGAAAAGTTGAGACCAACAGGCTCTCTGGATTTGGAAGCCTGCCAACCTCAGCGCCCCGAAAAGCAAGAAGATGGGTTTAACTGCGAGGTGCACCTTACAGAGGACTCAGAGCTCGGGCTTTTGCATCGGAGTTTGTGGTTGGACTTGATTCACGAGTGTTCGTAGGACTTGATTCAGAAACGGTTTGGCTCTGGAGGCTGCTCTTAGTCTGGAGGTTGTTTTCGTAAGTCTTTCTGGCTCCCGTTTGGTAGTACTGTAACCCTGAACCCTAAACCCTAAACCGCAACCTGCATGGCTCACCCCAGATCGGACTGAGCTGCCACGGCAATTCTTAGGGGACTCTACAACTCTACAAGGTAAGGCAGCCGTAGTTCAAGAAAGGATCCGCGGAGATGCAGCATCCACAGGTGCAACATGCTTGGTACTTAAAACCATCTTCGATAGAAGTCGGAGAAGGGAGTAACTTGCGTTTAGCTTCCCCAAGTTCGGAGGTCTGGATGCTAATTGGCTGCTCGCGGAAGGGAGGAGAAATGGAAACTAGGAGCGCTGTGAGAAGAGTATATGAAGCAAGCTCAGGCTGCGGCAAGGGCATTCGCAGGGCTCCCAGATACTCTTGAAGCCATGATGAGGAGCATAGGCCGTCCACCGTCCACCGTTTGTCTTCTGTTGTGTCTTCTGAGTTGGTGACGATGATAAAGGGGGTTATGCTCATGAAAGAGTCGCCTAAAGCGGTTGTTCGAGGCCTCCTTGCGTCTTCCATCTCCCCTGGAGCCGAGAAGAAGATCCTGCAGAGGTACCCTTGTGGGTTTCGGACAGCATGCCCTGGGGCGTGTGTAAAGAGGGCCTCTGAAGCCGAAATTGGGTCCAAGAAAGGGCATTCGTGCTTGAGATTGTGGGGCTTTCAGATGCATGACGTTTCCATCAAGGCCGTACCAGCAGAAGCTTTTACCCTTAGCGATGTACATTGCACACTGAGCAATCTCCGGGCACGAAGCTCGACACTTTGATGCTTCACCGAAACTGTCGTCCCAACGGTGGCAGGTCGGGCGTTGTTCAGCGCTATGTGGATGGGCCGTTCGGCTCTCAGCCCCTTCGAGATGCCATCTCCTGCTTATATCATACTATAACTATACTCTACTGCAACTATAATAAGGAAGCCCCAAAGTGGTATTGGTGATTATTTAGGCACACGAGACGAACTGTAATGTTATTTCAGCAACAGACCCCAGCAACGATGGACATAGCGACATATTTTGCGCAGCTTTTGCAGTGCACGCATGCTTGGATTTTTCTCCGTGTGTGCAGACATGCTCAGTCGCAAACATTGCGCCCTCTGCTTCCGCAGCGTTCACATGTTTCTCCGTCCGCAAAGACATGTGAATGTGCCTGCACCCGACAAATGGTGCGTTCTCAATTTGGGGCGAAGATGTGGAACAGCAGACGGATGATCGAAGTGCTGTGAAGCCGAGAATGTTGAAGGTTCCCGGCGAACCTTCAGAGAGTGAACGGTTGACACACCTGCCCTACAGGGACTGGTGTGAACACTGTGTGAAATCGCAAGGTGGCAAAAAGCATGCGATTAAGAATGATCGTCAACCTGTGATCCAGATCGCCTTCTCCTTCTTGTCGACGGAGAATGATCTGCCGAAAGGGACCGTCTTGAATGCAAATGATATGCTGACGGGCTATGCAATGGCTGTAGTGCTTCCTGCGAAGGTAGTGTTGAAAAGTATGCTGTAGCCGAACTGCGCAGATTTGTGTTTGAGATGGCAGCATTTGGGATTGTTCAGTATCATAAGGAGAAGTCGATTGCCAAGGATGTGTGCAAGACTGCCCAGGATTGTCGATACGTGCATCACCGACTGGACGCTCCCAGAGCCAAGGAAGTATCGGGAATGCCCTACGGGCAACTGAGGACACTGATGTCTCAAGTTAAGGAGTCGACTGGGTTGAAGTTGACGTCTGAACGGCCAATGCTCACGTGGGCTGTGAAGCATGCACCATGGTTGATCAATCGTTACATGATTGGATCTGGCGGTAAGACTGCCTACAACAGCAGGTGGTCGCGAGACTATGGTGGATCACTGCGCATGCTTGGTGAGTGGATTGACGCAGAACTGCCGCGCAGCAGACATACTGATACTAATGTTGCTTATTATCACAATTCTTGAGGAATATGAACAGTGGAGATGTGAGCGACGACAAATAAGGTTTACCCTAGAATATGTACTATTTGTATAAGTTCAGCTCTGGGAACAAGCTGGAAACCCTTGCAAAGCAGCAAGGGCAAGAGTCCATCGCACGAGGTTACTCGTCAACGGTTTCAAATTCGACCTCCGCCTCTACGTGGTGGCCGCCCTGATGCAACCAGCACGCAGTGCCCGGATGCAGGGTGGGCAGGGTTGAGGATTCCTTCTTGCACCGACCGGTTGGGCCAAATGCCCGCGCGTACTAAAGTTACTAAAGTCCCTGCGTGGCTGCGCCTGTCGGCAGTAGAGGATTCAATCCTGCAGCAGTGCAAAGTGAGAAGCTATAGAGACTATAGTGGTTTGCGGGTATTTCGGGGTTATCTCAAGCGTGAAGCTGTGGCAAGCATGTACGACCGCTCGTCCAGGTCACCTCCTTCGATCCCCTGAAGGCCGGGTCGCCGGGGCGGAGGAAAGGCGATGTTCAGCATTCAAGTTGGAAGTCATCGTCCATGTCTAACATTGCAAAGTTTCTACAGGGAGAGGGCGGAGTGTCGCATTGTAGTGACAGATCCTACGCACGGACTGAAGAAGTCCACCTTCAAATGAAATGGGGTGCGGGAGTAAGTAAGGTCGTGCGGTTGAGGATTGGATGACTAGTTTTGTTGTCCGGAAACTTGTTTTGAACTCTTTAGCAGCGGTGTCGATGGTAATCCTTACTACCAGAAAGTTTCTTTGACTAAGACGCTCTGCCTTTTCGCAAGCGTCGTAAGACCATTCGGGACAATCCCGTTCTCTTCTTGGTGACACACGCGAGTGCCAATGCCTGGGAAAAGCCTCTGAGTTCTGGGCAAGTCTGTGATTACAAAAAAGGGGTGGGAAAACTTGGGAATAGTATCTGCATATGGTCCTTACGCAACAGCATTCCATTATAGTGGACCCTAGCCCTATCCTGAGTATGAAGGCCCCTATATTCCACTCATTAGAGAGTTAAGATTTGCCGCTGAGGGGGTCGAATGAGAGGTCTACATCAATGAGGAGGGACTGGTGCGCCTGGCCACGCAGAAGTATCGGTGTTCCGCCGACAGTGCCGCGCTCAGGACACAGAGACCCGAAACCCTAAAAGCACCCGAGCTCTAAGTTTGGGGCATCGGTTGACCGTGTCTGGAGCACGTTCGCGAAACTTGAGCCGGATCCATCGACGACCATAAAGGTTTCAGATTGCTTTTTGAAAAGCACAACACGCATCATTCAAGGCATCCATCGATAACCCCAAACAGCTTTTGACGAGAGTGCTTGGGTGGTGGTTTCGGGATTCCCGACTTGCGGGTTGCTGGATCCCTGAACCCCATGTCGCCCGTGTTTCGTAGAGTCTTACATCCAAAAATCGTATGCAATTCACCCCAGCTTCAGATCCCCGTCCTGAGACCCCCTTGTACACCCTATTCACTGCGCATGGCGAAGCCGCAAACAGCTGTCGGGCCTTTGAAACATTTCGACAAGGAGCCCGAACGTTCACTTGTGGTCTTCCAGCCTCCAGTCCCAAAACACCTAAACCATAAAACCTTAAACTTGTAAAATCTGGTCTCGTCTGAGGTCTCCAAGAGAGGACCATGCACCTTACAAATTACTCGGTGAACAAGCATGCAGCCAGCTGGGGGCCCTTCATCCTGTTCTGACAAGGTCTGGGACTTCGGGCAGGGGGGTCTTGCGTTTTGATATATGGGCCTTTCATAGTTAGAATTGGGGTTTGGGACATAATGCTGTAAATAAGTGTATCATAAGGGACCTTAAAACCATAAAGGAAGACTCTGCAGACCTCTATAGTCTATAGTAGTCTTGACGGTGCGAAGCTTTGCGTGTTCGGGGCATTTTGGGGTTTGCCGGGTGTCGAAATGTCGGGGTGTGGTTGGCGGTGAACGTCCAGAAGGAGTCGCGCGTCTGATGTTCATGTTTTTTGTTGGCGATCGAAGTTTCGAAGCCTGCCGTAGCCGAGCCCTGCATTGCACACAAAGATTTGCGGGTTTTGCCCAGGCTACAAGCAAAATCTGGACGGCCAAGATGCGGAAGATGCTGATGCTGGGACTTCGGGGGAGGCCTCCGCTGAACTTCACTGAACATCTGCGAAATCTGCAGAGTCGCCTCTACCCCCCTCTCTTTATCGCCAGGCAGCCGAGGCCGAAGAGGAGGCCCCGTGAGGAAGCCACAAGACATGTAAAAGTCAGGGGTATGTGGTTTGTTTGGGGTAGGTGCTTTTCTGCCTTGAGGTGTCGTTTTGGAGATAGGGACGTTTTTCGCAAGAGAGGGAAGTCGGAGCCATCTCCACCGCAAGCAGCGAGAACCGCTCGGATGGGACACCTTGGACAGATGCAGAAGGAGGAGCGCACTCCTCGCAAGAGCCGCGCGGCATGAAAATGCGAGACATGAGAGCAGAGAAGTTTGGAAGAGGAGCCGAACGGTGGAACGGGACTAGAGAATTTGAGAGACAAGAGCCATACATTAAAGTGAGAAAAGCAAGTCCGAAAGAGGAGAAGGGCGCGCGAAGTGGACGATAGTCTCAGAAAGAGATAAACGTCAGGCTGCAAAACGGACCGCTCGAAAGGGTTTCAGATTTGAGAAAGACGACGAGACTGCTCGAAAGGGACTAGAGAGACAGTTTGAGAGAGCGGAAGAATGCAGAGAACATCAGAAAGATGAGCAATGAGCAACCCCCTCAGGAGCTTCCGGAAACCCACGAAATGTATCATAACTGCTTGTGCTGCTTTCTGCGGTTGCGCTGCGGCAAACCTAGTTGAACGTTGCCGGATGGCTTGATCGCCACTGATCCCCCAAACTCACCTCGAAGCTTCGAGTGGTTTTCAGAGGCCCCGCGAGGTGGCGATTCCACCGAGGCGGAGGTCTGGGTCATTCGGAGCATCTTGACTTGTCGTCTGCCACTCTCCTTCTTGAAGCTTGATGCCGTGATACTCTACTTGTCTTGGTCCGGGTCCCGATCGTCTCTCGTGGCTTCTTCCACTCGGCAGGAGAGCACAGGATCTTCGAAGTGGTCCTTGAGGCCACAGATCGAGGTTGTCAGTTTCATTGATTTCCTTGGGAGGTGTTTCCAACCTTCAGGCCTTTGTCGCTTTAATTGCCGAGACGTATGACTCGGGGCCTCAAGTCTTTCGTGTTCGGGTGGACCTCTGCCAAGGCCAGAAGATTTCAGGCTTTATCTTGCACTGATCTGTCTTGGCAGACCCTCATAAGTCCATACCGGTCAGCCTCCCCTGAAAACGGATCTTCTTGCCAGCAGAACCTAGCCAACCAACCCTAAACTTTCTAAACCCTACTTCCTACTTGTCGCTGCGGAGAAATGGCCACTGCACTTAAAAAACACCCTAAAGCCTAAGGACACAAGTCCCTGACTCTTTCCGTTGCCCAGGCAACTCGAGGAGTATTTCAAGACCCAGGGTCTGGTGCCGAGTCCCTGCCCTTCAGGCTCGTCTTTCCGTGGTCTCTGTGTGTTCGTGTACGTGTGCAACAGTGCATGAGTGAACTGGTGGCATATGTTTATGAATATACACTCTACTTTCGTGAAATGTCACTTGAAGGCTTTCGTGCAAGATGGCTAATCCTACAAACTGCATTGTGCAAATGCAGTGGCCGAGCAAGACCTGAAGAAGTCTAAGGCCTCGACTACGGGTTGGCGATGTCGCGGATCGAAGATGTCATTATCAAGACTCTCATCGCTGTGGAGCGGCGACCTCGGCCGTCGGCTTGAGAATCAGGGGTTGTAGGATGATGGCACAGGTTGGGCTATAGGGAGCATAGGTTTAGGTCAAAATATCGGTATTCGATGAGTCGGGAGGTGTATGGGTTTGGGGTCGTGGATTTAGGGATTTAGCGGTTGGGGTTCGCACCAGCCAACGCTTGAACATTCTCATCTCTGGCAACTTCCGATCATGCGAGCAACCATGCCCGGCTGGCAAGGCCGCAGATTGTGAACACCTGGCATCAGGCTCGTTCTTCGATCCTATAGGTTTCGGGTTCCACAAAGCTTAATCCACTCATTCTAGAAACTCGTCACATTTTCAGGGGGCGAACTTCTCCGTCGCGAGTTCTGGCCCCATCCAGCAGGCAATGGGTCGCGGGGCTTTCGTGGGGCTTGGGACTTCGAGGGTTCAGCTTCATCCACTTGGGGGAAATCAGATCTTGGTGATGGGGGGTTTGGGGATCGACGTTGTGTTGCATCGGATCAGGGGTCGGCAGCAACTTGGGTTGATTTAGGGCTCAAGGGTTTGGATGTTGGCGTTGTTTGAGGCTTCGATTAGCTTAGTTGTGTGTGAGGCCACCCAGCCGATGGTTGTCTTTGCATGTCCTGGCAGGAAATCTGTAGGAAGGACTGTACAGGTGCCTTGACGCATCAGACACACAACATCGCAAAACGTTCTGTAAGACGCCAAATCAAAGTTTTGGTGCGGAGTTTCGTGAGATGTCCTGCCGCCAGATTGGCCCGCACCAGACCTGCTTTGAGATCTACGGTCTCAGCCTGAGATCTTGAGAGCTTCAGATCCAAGATACCGAAAAAGTTTACATGATAATGATAATTAGTAAGTAGCAATTATAATTACTATTTATCATCGCAAAGACTCTGCATGGGTGTTGTCTGCGGTTTCCTGATCAGGCTTTTGGCTTGGTTCAGCAGGCGTTGGTGCAGGCTTCAGGGTCCAGAATATGCCAAGCGGGACGTAGCGCAAGGGGCCCAGTCGCACCTTACTCGTAGTGGAGGTCTAATGAGTCGTTGCTACCAGCACAAGAAACACAACCTCTGTGCTTCTTCCACATGGTGAACATACGGACTAACAACATGCCACCGAGTCTTTGCACTCTCTCTGTCTATATTGTAGATATACACCCCGGACAGGCCCCGAAGTCTTGGACCTTGCTTCCCGTTCCGGGAGATGCCAACATGATACAGTCTAAAGCAGTAAATAAACAAGCAAAGTAGTGTACACAGATGCGGCGAATGAGAACCACGCCAATCACAACCATGGAAACGGTGCGTGTCGGCCTTGCTTTCCGAAGCGTTTCGTGGACGCTTGGATTGTCTCTGCAGAGCTGAAACAGCCCGAAGCCACAGCTCGACACCCCTGACAAGTCTCCAAGAGCCATCCCCCAGAGCCTTGGGAGGTTTCGATATCCTGTTGGATACTGAACTGCAGCCGAGCTGGCGAAGCTTATCTCTGGGTCAAACCCTCTTGGGCTTTTTTGGGTGGGTTTCTGGCTATGTTTGGAGTTGCCGGCTTGACTTCGGGATCCGGATTCTGGTGCCAGGATCTGGGACATGCAGCGGCGTAGCGCTGAAGTAGATGTAAAGATTCGAAATGTTTCAATTTCATTGAGCGCAGAGAGAAGCTGCTCTACACTCTACACCCCGAGCAAAGCCATTCCAACAGAAAGGTCTCTAGTCTTTGAACTTTGAGCCATGCGCAGCCACGCTCGCAACAGACTCGACAAGCCTGGAGCAATAGTAGTCCGACGAGGCTTGAACAGTAAGAGCCCCTGTCAATCCCCCGGCACGGAAATAACCGCACCCGTACGCCGTTGCAGCCGCTCCGGCGCATTTTGTTCCAATACAGATACCCCCATAGTCTCCTCTTAACAGGCACCTTACTGGTAGACTCGTTCAGATTGCCCGTGTTTCCCCCAAGGTCACCGGTTGTCCCTCTGCGTCACCCCATGCACTGAACCCACGAAGCGTGGGGTTGTTCTAAAGTACTTGTTCAGGCCGTGGTTGCTGGAGGTGAACGTTTTCCCGCCTGCCGGCTCGTCATTGGGGTTCATGGAAGTGGAAGAAGACAGCAGGGATTTCACTATGAGTATGGCCTGCTCGGGTTTGGCCGTTCAGGGTTGTAGTGAGTGGTAGGAGTCGTCGACAAAGGCGGCCCCCGACTTCGCTAAGGTCGTTCTCCTCTTCTTCGCCCTACGATAAGAGGATCAAGACCCAACTGGTGGCTGATGTGCCTGTGCCCCTGGGAAACTTGAGCATGCTTGAGCCGAGAGGGAAGCCCGTTGCGGCCTGCCGAGGTTCACCTTGCTTGGTATACCACCCTACAGCCACGACGCCGTCGAAAATGCATGCAAGGACTTGCAGTGGCTTGGAGTTCTTCGTCGTAGAACTATCAGGGTTTGGCTCCCCGTGGTGAGCTCGGGAATCCGACACTTTTGGAAGTGCCCCTGGTCTTGAGGAGGAGCAAGCGAAACGTTTGCAAGGTCAAGGTCTTACGAGTTTCTGAGCCAGCGTCTCAGCTATGCCATGGCTTGGATCTCTGAGGCCAGTCAAAATCATTGTCCATCACGCGGTCGCACACAGCCGGGCCGCCATCACACATTCAGAGCCCCGTTTCAAGCACCTCGTGGCAGCCGAGGTCTCAACGATTAAATCGGCATCCCTGAAGAGTTTGGGGGAGGCTGGTGGTGAAGCTGGAGTTCCGTTGCAGCAAGTCGAATCCAGCTCTGTGAGCAGGCTGAGCGGCGACTGATTCTCGAGTCTCACGAGGAAAACATGCGAAGTGGGCACCTGACTCGAATCTATCCTCGTCAGGCCAGCACCCAGCTTACTTGCAAGTACCCTAAACCCTAATACCGTAATGCCCTAATGCCCTATAATACCTTAAACCCTAAACACACAGAAACTGCATCCGGCAGGCTTCCGGCGCATATTCTCAGTTCTTCGCGTCTCAGAGGCCCTCGACGGCTGCAGCTTCTGAGTCTTCGTATCCCACATCTCCTGGGCAGGTACACAAACCTCGTCTTGGAGCGATGGATTCAGTTGGGTGGAGAGCGCCTGGGGTGAAGAGGTTTGTGTAATCTGTGGACAGCTGCTGTTGGGAAGTGAGGAGGAGGATGTAGATGATGATGATGATGATGATGATGATTTTGAACATATTGATGGCGGGACGATGAGCATGCTGGGATGATACTGCTGACTACTGCTGCTGATGATTTGTTGATACTTGTATGCATGCATGTAATATAATTTTGATGATCGTAATGCTGGCCCTGATGATGATACTCGTGGGAGGAGGTGAAGGATCAGGACAAGCAAGAGAAAAGATCGATGGCTGAGGGGCGACGACGATGAATATTCTGAGGATGAAGCTAGCTCATGATGGTGCATCATGTCAATGTTTTCTTTGCCGGTTTCAGTATCACCCGATCTGCTATTCGCATGCAAGCACCAGATTGCTGTTGTGAGGATGAGCCTGTACCGAGGCAGGCTTGCGAATTCGACGCTTGTGACCAAGTCCCCATCGGTGTTGCACTCAGCTCTGAGGCCTCATCTCCTAGTGGCACCAGACGGATATATTGTGTGGTTCTGACTGGTCAGGTGCTTCATTTGGGCACAGCGCGTGCCCATCTGTGGAGCAGAAAAAGAGGAGTTGCTTTGCCCGGCCTGCGTGGCGTGAAGAATTGGGTCACCAAGCGAATGCTTAGGAGATCGGGTTGGAGCACTCGGACGAAGCACTGGATGTGTGAAATTCCCGGTTCTGCAGTCGTGTATCCAATCCGGGAGTGGTGAACTCCGGGGTCAGAAAAAACATAAAACAATAGCAAGAAGGGAGATAATAACGCGACGAATAGTCATCGTACTCGTCGTAGTAGTAGTAGTAGTAGTAGTCGTCTGTTTAAGCATGCCTGTTGTCTTGTTTTTTTTGCGTGTCCAGTGCAAGCGACCGTATGTCTTGAGATTTGCCACGGAGCATGATTCGAGATGTCTTCCTTGCCTCAGATGAGTGTTTGCCGACCGATCAGGTGACCGCAGTTGTCGCGGCTCAACTCAAGTGTCCCAGCATTCTCGACCTTCCCAGGAGGCTCGGTGCCTGGTGCAGAGCTCAGGCGGTTTCAAACTGCTTTCGCATGCAGCGCCAGGAGCATGGCCACACTACGGGGCCTGCTGGGCTTTTTCATGGCTGCAATGGCGGCCACTTGCCAAGGCTTGCGCGAGTATACTCCTTGAAACCGCGAGGGTTCAATGCTATCGGCAATCTGGGGGCCACTAAAGTGGCGGAGGCTCTAGGAGACTGCTGGCCTTCAGAAGACATGCAAACTGCCCACGATCTTTGGGGGTTGGGAACACTTTTCCGCAAGCACCCAATCCTTACATGAAGCCCGCGCGACCTCATCATTAGGAGAAACAAGAAGCAGCTTCCCGGCCAGAATAAATCACCACTGGGTCGAACAGTTGAACATAGTTGAACTAAGCCCACACCACTCTCTTTTGCAGGCCTCTTGAAGGTTCATGGTTTAGATGTTTCTACAGAGGAGCTGCGAAAAGGGAGTGTTGGAGTTTGGGCTTGACCAGGTAGGTACCCTTTGCCCCCTGGCTCGGATGGCTTGGCCACAGGCAATAGCTGCGCTTCCGACGACGCCGTGCTGTTGCAGAGCACACCCGCCGCGCATTCACCTGTGCTGGGAGGCGGGAATTTGGATTAGGGTGAGTTCGGGTCAGGGTGTGGCGTAACCTCCCACCACTCCAGCCACCCCCCCGCTTCACGCGAAGCCGGCGCTCCTGCAGGCTTGACGGGCGACAGTGCAGAGGTCATGACGGGCACGGGGTTCAAGCGTGACTTTCAAGACGAGGGCCTTTACTACGACCTGCGGACCTACACCCGCAACGGTACTGTCTTCTACCCTTGGATGTTCTCGAAGACGCTCGCTCATGACGAGCAAACCGGCTTCCCAACCAAGGAAGATGTCGACAGAGTACTGGCTGCAGAGAAGAAGCCCACGCAAGGCAATCTCGATGCTATTGTCCTCTCGGATTCCCCGAACCGCGTCCGCAAGCTCGAGGGGCTCACGAACACGCGCAACAAGAATGACATCGGAGCTCTGCCGGAGTCTGCCGTGTTCCCGTTTTTCTACCCGATCGACTCCGCAGAGTCAGCCTTTGAGATGGCCGAGGTCTACGCCAGAGCGCTGTTGCGAGACGTGCCGTTCGCTGACTACAGCACAAACCCGACGGTCCAAATGGTAGTGGATTCGCTGAACCAGTTCCCCTCCAAGACGAGCCATCCAACATCAGCTGGCCTTATCACTGAAAAGACACTTTTCCGTGGAATAGGGCCGGGTGAGACCGTGGGCCCATACGTCTCGCAGTTCTTGTACAAGACTCATAGATATGGCGCCTATCTGGTTGAGCAAAGGTACGAAGTGGAACTCGATCCAACTAACATGCTATCCATGGACGGCTGGCGTGCAGTGCAGAACGGGGAGAACCCTGCAAGCACAGTTCGCGATGGCACAGCCCTTGCAGCGACTGGGCGTGTTCTAGGGTCCATTGTGCACCGGGACCCACTGTTCCAGCTCTACTACCAGGCTGCCCTCGTGGCGCTTCAGCAGGGTGTTGGTACAGAGGGCTTCGATCACGCAGCCTCCACGGCATGGACGACAAGCGGTCCACCGGACATCTTTGCCTCTGTGGCGCATGTTGCCGTGGGTGCTCTACGTACTGCGTGGTGGCAGAAGTGGGGAGTTGGCATGCGCATCCGTCCGGAGGCATACGCCCAGAGGTATGAGCTGGCCCGCACACAACCGCAGCTGCTTGCCGACGTCCCGGGGCTGGCGGCCCTGAAGAACAACATCGAAGTGGCCACTGACATCATCAATGCCGTGCTTGCGGACAATGGAGCTCGTGTGGGCAACCAGACGGCGCTGTTGGCAGTCATGTACCCTGAAGGCTCACCGACACACCCGTCGCTGCCGGGCGGTCACGCCGCGGTTGCTGGGGCCTGCGTCACGGTCCTGAAAGCGATGCTCAAGACTTTCGACGATGATGCAGGCACCATTGAGACAAAGTGGGTGACGGGCACACGGACTGCAAGCCACTCGGTTGACGGCCAAAACCTGGTGGGCTACTCAGATGCGGATGCTGCTGACATGACAGTCAACGGCGAGCTCAACAAGCTGGCGTCGAACGTTGCTCTGGGCCGCGACTTTGGAGGAGTACACTTCCGGGCTGACAACGACGGAGGCATCTTGGCCGGGGAGGACTACGCGATCTCCTACCTAGCGGACAAGTTGAAGGCTTACGCGGAGGCAAGCATTTATAATACGTTTGAGGGGTGGACTCTAAAGAAGTTCGACGGTTCCGTGGTGAAGATCACTGCATCCGGTGCTCGAAAGCCATGGCGATGGCCAAAGCCAGTGCATCGATTTTGGCGCAGATCTAGCTATTACGGATAATCGGAGCAAGGGTCCACCTTTGCCGCACGAACAAGTTTCAATTTTAATAACTACGACATGTTGCCGTACGCTTCAGTCGCGTTGGCACTGAGGCACACGAAAGCCCGTCGCGTTTTTGGTGCCACCACTGAGGCACACAAAGCCCCGGAAGTCCGGAAGTGTCTAACATAGCCGTACCCTGCACTTGAAAGATAACGGGCAGGAGGTTATGCTTGTACGACAATTCCCTGCCACGACTGTGGTCGGCTTCTGAGGGTACCAAACCCAGGCGATGCGGTGTCGAAAGAGATGATGTTGTTCTCGCTTGCACTTAAGCGCTCTTTAGTTGGGTCTTGTACATATGATTGCGCAGTATGTATGGCTTCCTGGGCACAATGGAGCTATGATGGCTTCGCGTACAGGTCGTTTCATGTAACGTTGTGTATGGCATTCTGTTCGGAGTATTCGTCAATCTATCCTCGAGCCGCTGCAGTGCTGTGACGCAGTCCTCACAAGTAGCCATTCCTTGATGTCTTTTCAATTCAGCTCCTGCCATGTTGCTTCACCACATGCTTAGCTGCTTGTCTCGGTTTCCGCCTTCTTGTTTGCAGCATGTGGATCGCATGGTGTTTGGCTCTTCCTAGATGTGGGATTGGGCTTGGCCAGTTGCCGACCAGCCCGTCCCTCAGCAACCTGGACAAAGTACGCACGCAATGGGTGCTTGTTCTTTCGCCCGATCATGTTGAACATTCTAAGGACACCATGACGGCAGCCGAAGCGAAATTCTACAGGGATGGCTCCTCCCCTACACAGCCGGGCAAATCGAACTGGCCAGAAAAGCTGGAAACGCGAATTTAGGTTCTGCAGAGATGTCTTCCGGGTTTGCCTGCGAGGTTATACACACCGAACGGTGCTGTTTGACAGCATGCAGGATGCCAAGGCACCCTCGCCTGGTGTGACTTTGCACATTGACACCAACGCCAAGCTTACGCTCTTTGCTGTGACATGTGTCATAGGGCTGCCAAAGTCAAAGCACAAAAATCTGGAAAGTAGTGTCGGGCAGGCAGAATATGGCGGCGCACTGAACTTCAGCGCATATCGCCAGGGCCGTGACAGACAGGCGTCGATCCTTGGACACAGCTTGCTTTTCTCTTCCTTCATCCTATTGGGTGGACAGGTATGCCGATGTGACTATCTCAGAGTGATAGATCTTCATAGAATGCAGCGGCACTTCCTGCAGGGCTCATATTTTCAGTTTGGCTCTGACAGTGGGTGCAACGGCGAGTGTGATCACTTCGGACTGACAATGATGTGACGGCGATGAGGGTGAGGATAAAGATGGCCTGGTGACGATGGTCGCGTTATCACGACGACGACGACGATGATGATGATGATGAGGACTTGCTATGCTGATGATGCTGATGGTGATGATACGAATCATCTGTGAATCTTTCGTGCTGTTGTGTGCAATAGCATTCGTCTGCCTTCAATGGAGTGTATGTGGAATGCCAGTACCTGGGCGTCAACGGGAAGAACTACTACGCGAAACCTTGGGGCAACGACTCCTCCAATATCCAGGCGCGGGAGCGTGAGGGTCAGGTTGCTCACAGACTCCGAGGTGTCCAGCTTGCGCTTGCCTCAAGGAAATTAAGATAGCAAGATTGACGCTGAACCATCCAGTGATCCCCGATAGGGCCTAGGGGACTCCTAGCGCCGCGAAAATCGCAGCACCACCCAATACCGTCCCTTGCGACGAAGGCGGTGATTAATGGACCATCCTACTGGAAGTCGGGCGCCTCAGAAATTCCCTCAGACTCGACGGTTCAACGTTCGCCAAACCCTCTCGAGCCAGATACGATAGTAGTGTAGCATTGACGACAATTACTGTCACGACGATTGCTACGACTAGCAAGTGTGAAAGTGTCCTGGGGATGGAACCAGCCTCGCCTGGGCACTGTCAAAGGCGTGTGTACTATCGCGAGAACATTGCCGCGCGGTTTGCGCGTGAAGATGCGGAGGCAAGGATCCAGAACAGGGTCTGTTGCAGGTTTCTGAGTTGGGAGACTGGTGTTTTCTGGCCTTGATTACGGGCCGAGAGTGGTAGGCTGAGACAGCGACGCCTCAAACCGGAGCACCGAGATGTTGCTTACATCTCCCCTTAGTCGCTGCACATCATGCTCCCATCCTCAAGCCAGACCCCGATGTGCGCAAGAAGGCACCGAAAGCCTGGCAGTCTTAAACTTCAGAATTGCAACTTAGAGCTTGGCGTGCCGGACCTAGCTTTACTGCTGGCAGGCAGCCGAACGCAAGGCTCAGGCGGAGATTGCAGAGGCACGGATGGGGTTCCGATCCAAGCCCTTGCACTCGAAACTCTCGCCCCCCGGGAGCTTGAGATCTTCCAGCCGAAACACAAAGCCCCAAAATGCTCGACCCCGAAGCCCAAAGCCCTAAATCCTAGCGAATCCCGAAAAGTCCCAGAGCTTCAACACCCTAAACCCTGAACCCTTCCACTCCACTGGAAGCCGATGCCTTCAACTTGAAACCTTGCAGACCCCAATTTATACACCCTCCGACCCTTGAACGTGAAAGTTCAAACCTTCAACCCTCAACCTGCTCAGACGACACCCGGAATCCTACACGCGAAACCCAGAGCCCTCACTTCAAATGCCGAGAGACCAAGCTTAACACCCTCCACCCAAATCACTCAAGCCTAACTCCCAAGCCATTGAAAGCTTGCGGGCCTAAGACTCAAGCTGGCTTATTTGGTTACAGGTCTGGTGGTCACCAGTTTCCTGAGCTAGCGGTTGGGCTTTCAACGGATGTAAAGGGTGTTCAGGCTCCAGCAAGATAGGACGAGCCAGGGATGAATGACAGTCCTCATGCTGCTGTTGCTAAGTTACGTACTTAACGTTTCGTTACTGCCTGTGTGGCAAGAACATCGAGCAGAGCAACAGCAGCAATGTCAACAAGAAGATTCAAAAGAGGGAGGAGGAGGATGAGGAGGAGGACGACCACAACCGCTCCCAACACCGCCATCGCCGCCACCAGCGCCAAACCATCCCTGCTCCTACTACTACTACGACGACTACGACGACGACGACGACGACGACTACTACTACTACTACGACGACGACGACGATTGACTACGACGACTACTACGACTACTACGACGACGACGACTACTTCTGCTTCTCTTGCTGGCAGTTTTCCTATGTCATGGACAGCATGTTCCCGACGACCCAACCTCTTCGACAGCACAACTTCACGCAACGTCTTCCCTCTAGAAGCCAAGCCTGCTCACAGGAGACCCAAGCCCTCAACCCTAGTGCTGTTAAAAACTCGAGTGCCTAAGCCCCTCTTCTGGTTCCCTAACCCGAATCCGAACCTCCCGAGCATCGACTCCCAAAGGCCCTTTCGAACGGGGCGGGTGAGGCGCCGCCGAGGCAGGAAGCAACACTTAAACGCAGAACATCATAGAAAGTGGAGATTAGTCTTGATTTCATGTTTTGACTGGACATGATGGTTGATGGTGATGGTTGATGGTGACGATGATGGTGATGGTAATGGTGATGGTGATGGTGATGATGTTGATGATGCTAACGGCTAACGCTGATGATGGCGATGATAAGGAGGAGGATGATGATCGTCATCATCACAGTGGCATGGGGAGGCGATCGCAGTCGGAAAGCGCGCTTCAGAAGCCGAAGACCCTCGATGTGACGTGGCTGCAGTTGCCGGGTCATCGAATCTTACAACTCAGTCTCGGAGTATGCCAGCCCTGAGCAGCAAGCCCAAAAGCCGAGTCCGAAACCCTGAACCCACAAACCAGAAAGCCGCCTCGCCTTCCCAGGCATGCCGTTAGGCCCGAGCAGCAGGGCGACTTCTGTCTGTTTGCCTGAACTGTCACGTGTGCGCACACACACACAACGAATCTACTCAGGCCATCCGCATATCTTTGTATGTGTACACATATGTACACCGTATGCATATACATATACATGGTGCAAATATCGGTACATATATAATATGTATATGTATATGTACATATGTGTACATGCGTGTGTGTGTGTGTATGCATACATACACATATATGTTTATGCAGACACATACATACATACATACATACATACATTCATTCATACATACATACATACATACATACATACATACACATACACAAATAATTACATACATACATACAGACATTCAGACATTCAGACATACAGACATACATACGTACGTACGTATATACGTACATGCACGCATGCATGCACGCATGCATGCATGCATGCATGCATGCATGCATGCATACATGCATACATAGCATGTATGCGTATAGCATACGCCATCGTATGCGCATCGTTGAATCAGCATATGTCTGCCCCCCCCGCATGTATGCACCCGCAGTCCGCACAACAAGACAAGCACAACAACATTCCTACGGTCCCAGGCAAAGGACACGTACGCGCCCATCAAGGACTCCGGAAGTCTGAGCTGTTTAGCAGGCCGTAGAAACTGTTGCCCGCACTCATGCCTAGCATGTCCGTGGTTCATGCTGATGCTGCTTCCGGAGTTTGTTTGATGGTGATGGGCTGAGGTTGTTGTGGCTATGTTCGCGATCATCGTTGTAGCTTTCCGAAATTGAAAGGAATCCTTGTACATATGCACTTCCTGAAGGGCGCAAGATGACAGGTCAGGAAACAGAGTTGCGGTTGATCATGTCGGATCTGAGGCCGCCAAGGAGGCCCCGTTGATTTAGTCCTAGCACCTTCTGTCAGGAACCCAGCAGCCCTGTGTAATTTTTGCAGGGAACATCAGGCGTGGACGGAAACTCTTGTGATGAGATCGTAGCCTAGCCTTTGGTGCCATTCTCGATGGCACTCGTCCTGTGTGTTTTGTCTACCAAGCAACAGGAGAACATGAAGCCTTTCGTGGAGAAGCAAGGCGACTGCTTTTTCAGAGTTCTAAGGGTTTTTGTCAAAATGAGTTCTGTCTTGAGTATATTCACGGCTTCGTTGCGACAGCCCATGCAAAGAGGTTTGTGGCTCTTGCGGAATGGCACTTAGGTCGCACTGCAGATGTGGGCTTTGGGGTGGGGCTCAGAGATTGAGGATCAAACGTTAGGACAACAAGCCTCGAGCCTTCATTCGCTCAGATCATTAACGATGTTATGCTTGATGAGTTTAAGGTATGTTTGTTCGATTGACGAGCTTTCATGATGCGGCTTGGCTACTCCAGTGGAACAGCCTTCTTTGCTTGGATGTGCTTTGCAGATGGCAGTATGCTAGGCGAGTATTCTCGCCGCCATGGTCATTGCGGTTCCGGAACACCGGCAAGCTTATTAAACATATGCTCGAATCCAGACCGCTAGGGCCTGACCGTACCCGCCAAGCTCTGAATTCAACCTGAGCTGCATACTAACTAGCTCTCGCCCTAGCCCGCCCCAGGCTTCAATGCCAGCAATTCTTAAACCCTCGACGCCCCAAACCCGGACGCGGGGGCGCAGGCAAGCCACGCATCAGAGCTATGGAGGTGCCTCATCTTTGGGCTCTGAACTATTGGTGTTCAAGGCTTTACTCTTGATAAGCAATCGAGTGCCTATGTTGGGACCGGTTAGCCGCCACCCGCAGCCAAGATCATGACCTGTGCCCTTGGCCTATTTGAGGGATCCTTTTCTCTAGCTTTCAAGCTTGAGTTCTTGTATGCTGCTATCTGTCTGCCAGCTCGATGTTCCCCGCTGCCGCTGCTGCAGCTTGCATGTTTAACATACAGTATTTCTGGTCCATGGCCTTAGGCGTAGCCGCAGCAAGCATAGCTGCCCCCTTCTTGTCGCATGTTGAAATCATGAGGTGCAACAATTATCTTGTCATGAGAGAATATAATCTCGCAGACTGTAAGAGCCGAACGAGTGTATGGCTTGCATAGTCAGCACAAGATTGGCGCATGTTCCCCAGAGCTCCCTCACCTACTTCTTCGATTTGCATTACGGGTGCCTGCATACAGAGCTTCTGGAGATATCCAGGGAATACCCTAGTTTCAAGAAGCAGAGTATCGCTGAGCCTTTCGGCGTGTTCCAAGGCCGGAGAGCGATTGCACTTCTTCAATACCCTTCACAACAAGTACCACATGAAGGCAGTGACTTGTGGATTGCAAATCCTGCCCAACAGGATTCGGTGAAAGTTTTGTTGTGCAGCTCCTAGTGTATCTGCAGTGAGCCCTGAACTGCTCTGGCAGGCTGGTGGCAAGAACTTGGAGTGGAATGTCTCCAAGCAGGCCTCGCCTAGCCGATTGCCCTGGGATGTGGTGCTCTGTTGGAGCATCAATGATGCCCTCAACCTAGCAAAGTCTTGGTTGCCAGCACTCTTTGCAATCTGCCCTGACGGTGCCTTGCAGACCCACCGAAGTACCAAGAATGAGCTGAACTGGATCTTGTCCAACTACTTCCGCACCGACTCGCATGTCGCTTGGCTTTGCTGTCGCTGTGCGGTTTCCAAGAGCTTACCGGGATGAGCAGGTCAGCGCTCAGCGCCTGTTGGGCACGGGGTTTGTTCTTCCTCCCCTGCCCCCCCCGAAGTTTGTGCTTAGCGCTCTGGGTTCCTAACCGAGAGATAATGTAATAACGACAAGACCAAGACACGCGTGATTTTTTTTTGTAATCGTCGGTATCTACTCTTTGTTGGATTCAGTTGCAAAAGTTTCGTCCAAGCCACTGCAAAGCCACCCAAACACACAAGAGCGGTTGCGAACGTCGCAAAGGAATCTAAAGAAGCCCTAGGCCCTAAACCCCTAAACCTCTAACCCGCAACCCTAATCCCCTAAACCCTGATTAAGCCCTCATCCCCGAAACCCTAAACCGCAAACCCGATCCGAAGTCACAAGCCTGGCCAGGCTGTCCTAAAGGGAGCGGGGCACGACTGACGAGGAAGTGCGAGAAGGAGGCGGCGAACTTAGAAGTCACATAGACATCTATATACATATATACATGTAGACTTTACATATGTGTGTATGTAAATGTAAATGTAAATGTAAATGTAAATGTAAATGTATGTATGCATGCATGTATGTATGTATGTATATACAGAGATAAATACATATTTATTTCTTTGTTCACTTACTTACCTATAGATATATATATACATATATAATATATGTACGTGTATATGTACATGTACACACATAGAGATACAGCGGCGGCTAGCTGCTAGATCGACAGACAGCTAGACATGTATGCAATGTAATTCATCCGTGCCATACCACACTCCAAAACTCCATGCCAAGCCCAAAACAACCTAGGACTTGGGGGTCGGACTTGTCGATGTCATCAGGCCAGAGGGTAGTAAGTATTGGACCGCCGAGTCTAGAAGTTCAGATTGTTGCAAACTCTCTTGAACCGTGCTTGGATTTAGATTCCGTCACAGACCACAAGCCCTATCGGATTCTACTCAGAATCCCTGTTCCCACTCTCCAGACCCTGATCCCTGTGTTTGAAGCTCTAGCATCCAGCCTCTAAGTCGTGTCTATTTGGCTTTAGCTTGTGGTGGTTGGGTCCAGGTGGTTGCAGTCTCGAAACGGCTCAGCTCCTGAAGTTGTTTCTTAGCGGCGCACCTTAACATGACGAGACCTGACAGTGCCCAAACTTCTTCTCCAGACTTCCGATCTTCGCAACCGAAATCGTTGGTCAATCTGAACAGCGATCCTACAACTCCCAAGTAGCTTTGAAATCGACACAGCAAACCCCACACCCTCAGAGCAAATTCCATACCATACTAAAGCTCAAACTTCGATTCCCGTCTAGGCCCAGTCCAAAGCCTTAAGAAGCCCGACCGCGATATGTATTGTATAGTATACATTATATGTTACAGTTTGCAAGGGTTTTGGAATGCATAGTATACCGTGTGTGTGTGTGTAAGGTATGCATTACATCATATACAGTTCCTACCATATACGGCATATCAGAAGCTATATTTGATATGTTAAGTATCTTACACCTATATGTTACATGTTACATTACATGTGATGTCTGGTCTATGTTGATGTATTTGATGTTTGTTACGTTTTATGTTTTCAGCTATTTCGTGAATATTAGACTTGTTTCAACTGTTAGATTAGATGTTATGTGCGATGCATTGCCGTTTACCATCGCCATATTTTATATGTGTGTATATGTATGTGTATATATATATACATACATATACATATACATATACATTTACATACACATAGACATAGACATATACATACATATATACACACACATACACATACACATACACATACACATACACATACATATACAGATACAGATACACATACACATACATACACATA